AAGAAGTGCTAAAATTTTCCCGTTTTCGAGAAAAACCAGGCATGGTGCGCCAAAGTCAATGCAGCTAGTATCCCAAGTTGTTTTTTATTTCAAGAAGGTAGGCTTTGGCACCTAGTTACTGTTACTATTAGTTTCATTAAGATAATTCAAAATTAAAGTTATTATTTTAATGGTAATGAGAAAATAAGTAATAGTTAGTTTATTTCTTGAAAAGTTTAACACATACATACTGAATATAATTGAAAAAAAGAAAAACAACAAGAATAACTAATTTCTAACGGAAAATTAAAATTTAAGGAAAATAAAACCAGAAATGTCCTCCATTTTCACGAATACAAAAACGAATTATTTTTTGTAATGAAAACAATGTATTTTCAAAGGTTCTGAATCGTCTTTTAGATGGTTGAAATCATCAAAAATATTTTGTCTCAGATATGTTGCTGAATTTATTTCTGCTTCATATACTTTTTGTTTGGCATAGCTCCAAACTACATAATCAAGGGGATTAAGGTCTGGTGACCTTAGAGGTCAGTGAATTTTAGCATCTGCACCTCAACCAATCCAGCGCTCAGAAAATTTTTCGTGAAGAAATTCTAGCACGAGATCGTCACTTATCTGATGTTCTTTCCCACTATTTACTTTAATATTCAGTAAAGAAATCGAGTTATTTCGAATAATTATGTGTCTATTGTTTTATAGGCTTGCAAAAAATGAATTTGTGCAGAAGTACAGGGAACACTAATTAAATTATTTAACATAGTTCAGTTTATGTAAAGTAACACGAGAACAAATAATGGCACTAGTAACACTAAATAGATTTTTAATTCGACTAATAAGACACAACTTTTCTTCTAAATTGTACACTATTGATTTTTCAGCCAGTAAAGTTTTAAAGTATTGTAATTTCAGGACTATAAAATTATGTTCATTGCATTTTAACTACCACTACTTATTTATTATGTATTGTAAGTGTATTTGCTTGAGCATTAAGTAAAACTACAGAAATAATGCACGCCGAATAAAACTTCAATAGAAAAATGTTTTAAATTATTTTCCCAGCTCGGATATTACTTCCCTGAACCATTTCCTTCTACACAGACTTAAAATTGTTTTACACTTTAATTCAGTTCATATTTGCAGTTTTGTTAACCTTAAAAAGTAAACATAATCAATATTCAGTTGAAAATCAAAGTTTAGAGAAATTTGTCTTAGAAACTGCTTGATTTTATAACGTTGTAAAGGTCATTACAGCTGTTACTTGAAATTTAACTTATTTTTTGAATACTATAACTGAGTTTACATGATATTGTACGAAGATTTAATTGCAGCAATTTGTTTGTGTTTGCAAAACGGTTTTATGATTTTATTTGTGTATAAGGGAAATATTTTTTACTTTTCAAAAACTGATTGTAAGAGGCTATCTCCGTCTTGGTCCATATAAGAATTTGTACCTTTTGTGCCTATAGAAACGTTATGATCAGAATAAGAACAGATTTTAAAGTTAAAAAAAAGATTAAAATTGCTCGAAATCTGTAATAATTTTCAGCGATGCAAAAGACAACTTCTAATGAAAAATCTGAAAACTATTATTTTGTACCTACAATTAACGCAATATTGTTATAAAATGTCAATTGAGCCATATCTGAAACGTTTTAACACAGAAAACTTTTTTTTTTTTAAATATGGAACAGAGTTTGAGCAAATTATATTAAGATTTATTCATTGTGAACGTAGTTGTATGAATAGATACTTCGTAGACGCTGTTCGATTTTAAGTCTAGACTGAAAATATTTAATTCGTTTTTCATATATAAAATGCATGTTTTTCGAGTCACAGAGATCTTGGTTATCTTAAGACATGCAAATTAGATCAAAATTAATGAAATTTGATTACAGTAATACATTTTTTATACACTAGGCACAGAAATTAAGGGATATTTAAAAAAATCATAAAATCTTGGGTTATTTTCAAAGAGCTGTAACTTGAAGGGAGATGGTCGTAGAGAGAATAAAAAAAGGAAATTGAAGCTTCAATTGTTTAGTTTTCGGATCTGGAGTTTAAATTATTTTTGCGTAAGCAGTAATCATAAGAAAATCAACGAAAAAAAAATTGCAAATTTTTGCTTTTCTTTAAAAAGGCCTTTGGGCTTCAAAATAATTTGTTTTTTAATTTTTTTTAGAATAATGAACGTTTTTTGTGAAGAAAATATGGATTACTGCTAAAAAAACATTTTTAATTTAAGAACATGAATAAAAAATGAAAAATTATTTATATTATTGATTTTCAGCAAAATCGACAAATTTAAACATTCCGGGCACTAAGAAAAAAAAATTGAAGCGTTTTGAAATTATCAGGGTTTCTTTAGGACACTTCGAGGTTGAAAAGTTACAGACAATATTCTTAGTTTATTCATTATTTGCAAAGTTATGCCAAGTTATTCAAATATCCATAATTTCTAACCAACATTTTCACTTCGAAAAAATTACTACTTTGCAGTTTTCAAAACTCTGCTTGCATTTTCTTTACGACCATTATTTCCCGAGTAATTGATTGCCAAAGCCAAAAATAATTTTTTTGCTTTGATCAACGATAACTCACCAACAAATCATCGTACAGGGTTCAGAAACCGCTCAAATTGAAGAGAGTTAAATGATCTAAAAGAGTTTTATGGTGAAATTTGAAAGTTACAGCTCTTTGAAAATCACACAAAATTTTGGTATTTTTTTAATATCCCTTAATTTCTATGCCTAGTGTATAAAGATCGAAATATGCGTGATTAATTAAATTATTATTAAATATCTGGTTTTGCTTCATGTGTGGCAGTAGACCCACGGCCTCTCCTAAATTCTAGAAAAACAGAAATAGTAAAGATTTATTTTTATTAATTATACGAATCTATGGAAATAAAGTTAATTAAATGTATTCTTTCTCAAAGTTCCTTTTTGCTGCCTGTAAGGTTCAGTCAACGGCTTCATATGAAAAAAACATTTTTAGATCTCTCTTTGACATTGCCAGTGGAGATTTGTTCGTACTGTCAAAATTTCATTTGGAATGTTGTATGTTCTGTTTTCAAAGCACAATTTATAGAAACGGATAATTTGTTTCGATGAAATAAGAAGCAAACCATACCATATGATATCGTTGAAAATTTGGGATATATTAAGTTTCATGTTAGATAGCACATGAAATTAATCATACTGCACAAATAAAAAAGATTTGATTACATAAAATGCTTAAAAATTTTAATTGACGGGGAGCAACGATGTTATCAGAAAATATTTTGCCGATCAAGTCCGAGTGATAATTTAAAATGTTTTCAGTTGTATACGTTGACCTACGGCACTGCATCAGCGCCATACCTAGCAGTGCAATCCATAATACAATTAGCAACTGAAAATAAAGATGCCTTTCCTCAGGCTAGTAAAATAATTGCAGATAGTTTTTTTATAGACCATCTTTTAACGGGAGCAGACTCACTTCCTGAATTAGTAAAAATCCAAAGAGATGTGTACGAAGGCCTGTTGAGGCAGCGTTTTTATTATTATCTTATTATTTTGTTATTTTTTAATTAATTAATTTTTTAATTATATAAATTTACAGTCCACTGCATAGAGTTTGTTTGAATATATGTGAATCAAGTTTTATGCCATCATAGTGGCAGTACAGTGTTCTAAGCCATCATAGTGGCAGTACAGTAAACGAGAATGTACATTTTGTATTTTTTCTTTTTTTTCCAATAAGGGGTAGTTTTCACCCCTAGCGCATATATAAGTTTTGAAGTGGGGGGTAAGATGAGTCTAATTCTAAATTTTGAGAAAAATTGATGCAGTTATAAAAAATTCGGAGGTATTACTATATTTTCAGCTACAGTAGCTGGACTAGTAGTCAAAATTCATGACTTATCAATACATTTTGGAGAAAAATGAAATTTTAGGGTCAAAACTGATTTTTTCCTAAATGTTGTACAAATATATCATTTTCGTATTATTTTGACTCTGAACACGATGCCATTAGTAAAATTTACCCATGACCTCGATATTTCTCAGAAAATCCACTATTTGAGTGAAAACTGACCGAAAATTTGGGACCAAAACTGATATTTCCTAAATTTTGTCAAAATATGTCAATTTCGTAGTATTTGGAGGTGTTGAGTACCAGGCCATTAGTAAAATTTACCCATGACATCGATATTTCTCAAAACATCCACTATTTAGGTGGAAAACGTGGCCAAAATACTACGAATATAACAAAATTTAGGAAAAAATAATAATATTTGGGCAAGTTTTCACCCAAGTAGTGGATTTTCTGGGAAATTATTAACTAATGGCATCACGTTCATTCAAAATACTAGGAAAATATTTGAACATTTAGGAAAAAATTTGGGAAAAAATCGGTTTTGACCCAAAAATTTCATTTTCTCCGGAATTTCCTCGGAAATTATTTTGGGTCTTGGACTTTTTTTGTGTGCCTGTATTATTTATTTAATGTTAGAGGCCAACTTCGACATACCCTCTATAAACTAGGACAATTTTGACCTAGATGACCACAATGCTTTTAGGCCTATTTTTTACCAGATTATTGAAAATGTGTGGACTTGATTGCGTGAATATTTATATTCTTTTTACCAAAAGCTAATAAACTTCCTAATGAAGTTAATAAAAGTTATAAATAGGCACGAAATTAAACACTTTTGATGCCTCACAAACCAATATTTATAAAAATTAAAATGCGGAAACTGAATCCACACCGCGGTGAGAAATAATTTTAAATTTTGCTCAAATGAGCCGACTTGTATTCCGTTCAAGAATGCAATTGATTAATGTCGTTAATTAAACTGCCTTATAAGAAAAATAAATTAAATTTCGCAGTAATACACTTTTAAGTGGGCCCCCAAGCATCCATCTTAGCGGCTTGAACTTTGAAACTAATGGTATAATAAATCAGCTGACAACAAACAAAACTTGCAAGTTCTTAACTTAATAGTACTCTATTCTACTTACAAGTTCCAGTTGTTTAAGATAAGCCGAACTAGAGTTCCCCGCTTGAATGAGTGGCCTGCCATTGTTAAAAATGGCACATATCACCATCCCCAATGAAAACATATCACTTAAGATGCTACACACAGATTGCGTCTGGGTCTCTGGAGCTGCAAAGAAAGAAAACACTTCAGACGTTTTTTCAATTTGTTCGCCGTTCCATTTGTGATTTATGTAATTTGTGGGTCCGGTCAAAGGGAAGCTTGTATTTTTTATTTCGGACCTCAAATATCTAACACTAGCCAAACAACAATGGTAATTGGACATGAAGAAAAAATCTAAAACTTCTACTTTTTAACTAATAGCTTCAGTAGTAATAACCTAATACTGATTTATTAAATTAATTATTTATTTTTATAGCATTCAAAAGCATTATAAAATGGTAAAAAAATTAAAAATTGTACAAAAGAAATAGTTTATTTAGACCAAGAAAGACAGTTAACGAAAAACATATTAATTTTCTTCACAAGGAACGTTGAATATGAAAAAAAAATCGATAGATCATTTTATCATACTGAAAGGTGACGAGGTTATCTTAATAAATAACAAATTTAGTAGAACAAATAATTGTACTGATTTTCTCAAGCTTTACATACCTACATAAATGAAAATTTTGTGTGATTATTAAAATAGCTATTTTTAATAGTAGATTGCGAGAATGAAAGTTTTAAAAAATCATTCGAGAATGCAAAAGAATCCTCAAGTGGAATCGGTTTTCACAATTGCACAATTACGACATTAAATTTAAACATTATAAGAAATGATTAACTGTTAAATTGATTGTTAATTAAATTGAATACCTATTAATGATTGTTAAAAATTTTGTTTATGATAATAATAAATAAATTGGTGAACTGATTCTACCATATATAATTTCATTGATTTTAGTAGGTGGATGTAAAAGACTGTTAAGTTTTGTAGAGAAAAAACTGTTGTTTTGACACTTAACAAATATCATGTAAAAGTCAACTTTTAATATAAGTGTTTTAAGTAGCATTTTATCCACTTAAGAATATTAAACGTTCGAACTGCGTTCTCGCGTTTAAACTTAAACATTAAAACACGAATGCAATACAACGTTTTATTCATAATCACATGACAATCATATTTGTGGAGTCACTGGTATTTAATTAAAAAATATTCGCACGACTTGATATTTCTTACTAGTCTTCAATGAAACGTGGTAGGTTTTGTTATACCTACTGGTTGCTGTGATACGTTGTTTATTATCAATTATTTAATAAACAGTTCTATCTGAATTTGGTAAAAATGCAAGAAATTGTGTTCCTGTGGCTGTTTTTTGAAGAAACTCAAGAAGCAATTTTCCAATTATTTCCAGCGAAATCCAGGGAACATTACGACAAAGTCGCGAATTTAACGGGAATGGAGGGAAAAACGGAGAGTAATGACAGTAAATGAAGAAGTCATGCTATCATATTTTTTAAATCTGAAGATAAAATATGCAATTTCACCTATGTGGTCGAAGTATTCGGTGTTAAAGGCTACTATAAAGGTCTCCACAATATAGACACTGGAAAATATAACAAGCTTACTGCTTATTTGAAGAGTGTGTCGAGAGGATACAAAGCAAAAAAGCTGCAGTATTGCAAAGAGCACATATTGAAGAATTTTTGACTGGCGCTTCCGACAAAAAATATTTAATGATTAAGGTAATATCATTTTACCATTTACATGTTGTTAGATATACATATAGTGAACTTTGAATTATTTTAGATATTAGAATTTTTATTTTGAATAAAATTAGTGACGTACAGGACGTTGGCAGTTACCTACCTGTCTCAACACCTGACACCAAGACGGGCATTCAAAGAAAATGTACAATTATAAAAGAAGGATTTTGCGTGAATGCTGTTGAAATATGCAGAAAATATATTTATTTCTCTGCGCCCAATTTGCCTAACACAAGACAGATCAATCAAAAATGTAATTCTCAGCCTGTTGGAATCAACACATTGGTGAAGGTACCCTCAATAGTTGTTTTTTTCCTGAATATCGCAAATCCAGAAGCATATACTGGCCATTGTATGAAGCGCACTGCAACATCTTTATTGACCAATAAAGGTGCTGATCTTATAACCATCAAACGGTATGGTGGAAGGAAGATAGCAGAAAGTTATATTGAGGAGTCTATATCTAACAAACTTGATATTGCAAGGAAAATTCAAGGAAAATATAGTTGTTCCTTACAAGAAGAGACATCCGTAACTTGTGCAAATTCTTCACAAACTTCGGCAGATGTTATGCGTTCCGAAGTAAATAAATTAAATTTGATTTATTATAGGTTTATTATTTCTTCATTATTCTACTAGTGAAATAAAGTTACTTTATTCCACTAGTGGATAAAGTATCACTTTAGACGGTTCATACGTGTGGATAAAAGTCCGATTATATGGTGATTGTGGATAAAGTAATTTTCTTTACCTCTTATATTATTTATAAATACGCATGAAATTTTTGCTGTACAAAATATGTATTATTGGCGCATTCGCCAATTTATAGAGTTGATTCTTCATTTTAAGTGTAATGTTTTTCTTCTTAAGACATTTGTAACGTGAAAATTATTCACAATCTTCGGCAGATGTTATCCGAAAATGATGGTAACAACACTACAAAGGTTGTTATTAACAGAAGTTAATATGCGATAAAACAAAAACCGAAATGTTTAATACTATAAATGTAAATGTTAATGTTAATAAGTAAATAAATTAAATTTGATTTGTTATAGGTTTATTATTTTTTCATTAAGAATAATAATATTTCACTAGTAGAAACTAGTGATATAAAGTTACTTTATTCCACTAGTGGATAAAATATCACTTTAGACGGTTCATATGTGTGGATAAAGGTCCGATCATAAGATAATTTAGATAAAATGAATTTATTGCAGTAGTAAAAAAAGTGAATTTTTAAAATCGTCAAATTAAATAAGTTTCTAAGCCCAGTTTCTAAGAACATGAATCCAAATTTTAGATTATTTTCTATATTAATATTCCTGATATATGAAAGCGAGTAACATAAGTAAGACACTTAGTTTGTGGAATATAGAAATATATTTATTGAAATACATTATTTTCTAGGATTTCGGTATTTTTTTGCAAAAAACTAAATTGTAAGAATTATTAAAAGTTTCATGTCGGCCTGACTGTCAAATGTTTAGGCTTTCATGAAGTTTTAATTATATTTAAAGGTATCATTTTTAGTTTCTGTTTTGGGTAATTATTTATTATTAACTGTTTACATGTAGCCCTTTTAGTGGGCTACATGTCTTAATGTTATTAGTACTTTTGACAGTATCTTTACTATCTTCATTTTCTCTAAAACAATATTATTCTCATCCTGTAATTCTAATTGCTAATATTGCGTCAAATCATTCAATACCTACAGTTATTTTAGTGTCATTACAATTTTCAATGAAAAAAGAACTTTTAATAAACTACCTATTTGCTTGTATCTCCAAACACAGCTGACAAGTTTAGTGAAATTTCCGTGACCTGGCATATTCGCGTATATTGATTAATTAAAATTAAGCAGAAACCACCAGAACGTAAGAAAATATTATCTCAAGAGGTTTGTACCAGCGAAATGGCCATTTTCCATATTTGTATAAGAGGTTATATGTAAATATTTTCGTTAGGAATGTTTAAACTTACAGTTATTAGGATTCGGAGCACGTACTTTACTATTAAGTAAGTAGACATAGTTTAAAAATATCAGGAGTTTTAATATTACGACACTTTTGGGCAGATGTGATAGTTTATTGAGAGAACGCTATCAAGAAAGTTATTTACCTCTTTCTTAGGAAATCCAAATACTGGTTAAGGGTTAATGGAATTATATAAAAAACACAAAATAAGTATTTTTTTTATAACTGAGAAACCAAAACAGAATTGATTTGTCCAGTTATATGACTGGAAAATCGATTCCAGTCCAGAAATAATCGCAGTATCTTTCTTTCTGGTTTTCTAATAATTATTCTAATGTGATGCATTAGAAAAATTTTAGAACATAGATCTGAAAAACGTTTCGTGCAAACTCTTGAAATAAGATAACACTGTACATTTACGTCAAGTAAAATGCTGTATAAAATATAACACACATAAACACAAAGTATTAAATAACATTATGACTTTTTTGTTTGTTTTTATTTTTTTATTTTTATTTACGAGTATTTATTTTTAATCTACAGTACAGATCAATCAATGATCAGTAAAAGAGAAATTATGTGTACAATTTTGGAAAAAAGTGCCACAAAATCAAGTATGTTCTATCAGCTGTTCAATTTGTGGTACCTTTTTCCAAAACACCGCGTATAATAAAAAAATGGCACAGGTGATATCAAAAAGTAAAGAGAAAAAAATTTTGTATTTTTAATCGCATGATTAGAAAAAAATATGACACCTAAGAAAAAGCAGTGACATCTCATATGTTTACTTATTAATATCAACAGGAGTGAGTCCCCGGACGCCGCTGGAATAGATAAAATAAATCAAATTACGTCAGACGACGTCTACCATTTTTATAAACAAACATATCAAATGTCAAAAAAATCAGAGTTAGGGTTCTCCAGATATTAGTAAAAATCTTGTATTTTCTATAAATTTCAACACCCTGTATCTCCGAAACGAAGCATTTTCGGACATAGGTTTATAGGAACTTTCTTTCTTATTTTTGGCCAAGGAAACTCCCCCTGATTTTTTTCGCAATATTAATGGGACACCCTGTATATAAAAAAAAAATCTAGATGTCTTTACGTTTACGAACCTATTTTCCATTGCAGTTTCGCTCTCTGCCACTCCGTTCGTTTAAATTTGTAACAATAGGCAACACTGATAAACGTACATATGCAACAGAGTTCGGGAGCTGCCCAATGACGAAGTAGACAAAAGCTTAGGTGAAAAAAAAAAAAACGGATTATATTGTTCTACTATTTATTTGATTTAAAAACAATATGTTTCAGATTAATATTCTCGAGAACACGTACTGCTACCCATGACAAATTGACCTTCATTGAAAGTTACCGCCTATACATATATGTATGAGAGAGAGTAAATAAAATCTGAACTGATGATTCTTCTGCCGCTTAATGAGA